ATAGAGACTAAAACAAACCAGTCCTCTTTCCCTGAGCATCACATCAATACTGTGAGCCACAGTATTAGTATATTTCTCACTTTGATTATTCTAATTACTATGAAAAATCTTATACTCTTACACCACATTAGAATCTGCTGTTGCCATGCTTGCCAGGAGTTATGAAAATATTCACATGACAACGATGTCTCTTACCTTTACTACGATTACATAAGAATATATGGGATTGTATTTTATAGCATTTTAATAACCTCATCTCTCAACAATTATCTTGCCATATAGAATTAAGTATATTCACAGTAATTAGATGAAAATGACAGACTGTAAATCAAGAGCAAGTAATTCACTTCTGTCAAACTGCATATGATCATTCTATTTGGATTTTATAGTAACTTATATGATTCTTGATTTTTTGAATGTTCTGATTTGAGAACTCAATAAGATAACCTTCCTTTGCCATAATAAGCAGAATATATTAAGCTCCTAAAATTTTCTCCCTATGGAACATTGGGATTTTCTAAAATATGGTGGAATTTCAATTTCTCAATGTGCAACAAAAGGAAATAATTGCTATTTCAAAATATAATATTTAAGCAAATTAACAATCTTTATAAACATATGAACCGTTTTCCCCCAAGCTGTCTATTGTCTTTCTGATTTTGACTGACAAATATTTTTATCAAGCTTTGGCTAAGACGTAATGAGTTTGTGTCTCCAAGGATGCGAGGATTGAATAAGGTACCTGGTCTATGGCAGTTTGGGTCAAGCTGTATGTTGTGTGAGAAGCTAATGACCCTGAGCTTCAGTCGACAATTTTTTTTTTCCCCAGTAAAGCAACAGCAATTCCCCTAGTGACTCCGTGACACACACTTGTTAGAATTGAAATGACACAGCCGGCAGCCACACAATAGTGGTGGGGTGACGGTTTACACACTGTTTAGGACAGCACGTCTTAAACAATGCAAAGTGTTGGAAAACTGGTCACTGTGTGAGGCTAGAGTCAGTCAGTACACTGGAGCAGTTATTGCTCGCCTTAGGGTCAAGAGTAAGGGTTTATTTACTAAGATCCAAATTTTACTTTAATCAGACCTTGGAAAAGAAAATAACAAAAGCTTGGAAACACAACAAATGAAGTACGATGTGCTTAGGGGTTGAGATTGATCGCCACTGCTGTAATTTTTCAAGCTGATTTTAGACTGTGTTTAGTGTTGTTTTAGTCTCTTCTGAGTCAGGACTGAGACGCTGGCTCTCAAGGTCAGCCTGCCAGGCCCAGCTTAGCCTTAGCCATTTCACGTCTGCTCTAGCCAATGAGTCCACTGATTGAACAATCACGAAAACAAGGGGCGAGCAGAATCTGATGGGTGTGTGCTAATTATATGAAAGGTGTCAAAGAGCCCCTGGATACTGACGTGTTACGTTCATATATCATGACTATAAACAAGGTATATTGTTCTAGTATTTTGCAGAATGTTGTGTGGATCATTTTCTTTGCTCCCCCATTCATTCTCTGTCTCAGAGGCTGTATCCCAAGGGTCCCCTGGCATTTGGTTTTATGACTGGACTTGGCCAGTGGGAGGCATGACAAGGACATCAGAAGGCAGGAGGAGAGAGAGGCTGGGCTATTTATTCCTCTGCTCCCACCAGCCATGCCTCTTGACTCTGCTGGCACCAATTCACCGACGTTTCCTCCGGGACTAAGGGTGGCCAGGGTTTCCATCTGTTGCTGCTCCCTGAGTACCTCTGCAGGCATTGACTGTTCCCTTAATCTTGCTCACTCCTTTGTAAATAGTCCCTTAATTAAATTCTTTTCACTTAAACTCTTTTTGAGTAGAATCCGTTTCCCATCTGGACCTTGTTACAAAAATACAAACAGCAATTGAGACTTTCATGTTACGATATTCTAAGTACTTAAAATTAGCAATAATTGATCCCCCAAATGATAGTTATCTAGTCAATATTTTAATATTAATTCCCTAAATTTTACTCAGTTGGTTCAGTCTAAAACTGACTCTGAAAATACTAAAAACAAATAAACGTTTCTTAAGAACAACAACATTCCATATTTCACTGTGGTTCAGATCCGTTGGCACAAAACTTTCCAGTGGCACTTCCGTCACCTGTGGTTCTTGTTTGGTTTTTTTGGTTTTTTGTTTTGTCGTTTTTTGCTTTAGTTCTTTTCCTGTCTTCAAACAAGGAAACTTTTCTTCCAAAAGAACAATTAACTAAAAGTCTAGGAGTCTTCAAAAAAGTAATTCAATACATGACAACATTAACGAATCCTTCTGAAAACCAAAAATTCAGCAATTAGCAAATATATCTCAAAGAAACTTTAACTGGAGTATTTTATTTTCCTGTAATAAAGATACATCTTTTGTAAGTAATCTTTGAAAACATTTGCAGAAATACAAAAGCGATCACTAAAAATTATTTCTGTATCTCCTGTGTGTAGAATGTCTCAATTTAGAAAGTTCTGGGTTATTAGTTGACTTAAAGATGTTAAAAAGTTCATGTATTTATTCTTTCTGTTATTTTGTTTACCTCTTCTAGTATTCATTTCTTTCTTCTACTCTTTTGTTTTATGTTACTTTATTTCTGCATTGCTTTTATTATTTCCATTTTCTTGGCTGCTTCTGGTTTTTTTAGCTGCTTTTAAGGTGTTCCAATAATGAGTATAATATCCTTTTATTTTGTCTTTTATCTTTAATAATAAGATTATGATTTCCTCTCAGTGTAGTTTTTTTTAACCATACCCTATGTTTTCATATAAAATATAGCTATTTTATTTGTTTTGTAAACAGTACATAATTTTCTTTTTTACTTCCATTTGATTCAGTAGCTCCAAAAGTGTTTCTTGATTTTAATGTGATTACATTTTACTTATCATTTTATTATTTACTTTTAATTTTTACTGCATTATTATCAAAGAATTGGGCCTTTTTATACTTTTTAATTATTAGAATTATCTTTACAGTCTAGTAGCTGACCAGTATTTGTGAATTTTCCAGATATATATAACAAATGTTTATTATTATTCAAAAAAGGTAACTTTTACAATTTACTTAAGGCATTAACTTGTTATTTATTCCAAATTTCTGTGGCCTTTCCTTCTAGTATTTAGTCTGATTCTGAGAAATGTCCACAATGTACTTCATCAACTTCTTTCATTTTTAATAATTTTTAATATTCAGATGTTACATTGCTTGGTGCACACATGTTCACCGTATTTTACCACACAATGGTAAGTTATTTCACTATGTAATTCCTTTTTGACCCTGCATAATGCTCCTGCATTAAATTCCACTCCATCTCACATTATTCTTCCCAGTTCCACTCTTCGTGGTCATTGTATTGCTGTCACTAACTTGTCAATTCCTTTAATTTCAACATTTAGCTCATTAACATAAGTGTGTATATTAAACATAACATCACTATTTTATCCTCGTTTACTACAAACTTGAATTTTTATTCTCTTTCAAAAAATTCAGTGCGCTTACAGGTAGTGCTAGATTGATATACTTGACTTATCACTTCTATTTTAATTTGTTTGCTCCTTAATTTACTCTTTTCTTCCTTCTTTTTTTTTTGTACTTCCTATGAATTAAAGGTTATCCCTCTGCTAAAATCATAATAAAATATATTTCTCCATTATAATATAAAAATAAGATAGCCAAAATCATCCCTCCCCCAGATACACTATTTTTATCTCTTCTTTTCTTACTCGCTAGAAAATGAGTACATGTGCCTCAGTATTAAGTAAACATAGTTCTAACTACAGCTGCTCCTACAAAAGAAATGTATCTATAGACTTTGAGAAAGAAGAGGTAATAATTTTACATTTTAACATATGAAATACAGAGAACAAGTATAATACAAATCATGCAGCTCACTTTAGGAGTTTTATTGAGGGGATGCGTAAGGGTTAAAACAAATCTGGACATTCATGATGGTGTTATCCTAAGATTAGTGGGTGTCATAAAGATCACAGAGAAAATGAACTCTCATGCCAATTAAATGGTTTTAAGATCACTATGCTATCTTATTCTTATATCTTCCTTTTACATAGCAAAAATACATGGGTATTTAAGGAAATTCTATTTTTTTAAAATCAAGGAATAAAATGCTTCACTGATTTCTGATGTAGAAATTATCAGGGTAATGTATTTTTTAGTGATTTAATTTTTAGCTTTTTGTGGGATTTTATTTAAATAGGTCAAGAGAATTTTATGATTTATTAAAGTGAGGTTTGTTTCAACCCATAGAACTTTTATTTCTAAGCCTCAACCACTCTGGTTGAAAAATATATAATTATGCAGAAAGAAAGACATCTTTAAATATTCTCTTGAGAGTAAGACGGCCATGCAAGATAGCTAAATACAGAAATGTAAGGAGTTCCTGCATGGTACCATAGCATAGTACTAAGTAGTACTGCACAGACTGCATGACTTTTTCTATTTTGTTATATAATTGCTCTTTTGTTTAAGATCCCTACCAACAATAATCTGTAGGAATAAAGCACTGAGTGTTAATTTTAAAGGAGACACTGTTGATTAAACAACTGTATGATGAGTTCACACAATGTGCTAGTTTAGGTGCCAAAAAGGGTATCAGAGAATTGGTGAGAATCACCAACATGTCAATAATTGGTGAGAACTCCAGAAGCCAATTACTTACTTAAGAGAGTTTGACTATACTTCAGTAACATATATATACATATATATATATATATATAGAGAGAGAGAGAGAGGGAGGGAGGGAGGGAGGGAGAGAGAGTTTATAATCAACTGTGAGTCAATGTCAGGTAATGCAAGAGTGGAGTAGATGAGAGTGGAGTGAAATGGCTAAAACATGTATAATCACATCTGGAAGTCCTACAAGATATGGCTCATGATATTAGTTATATTAATATTATAATTAGTTGTAGTAATATGATAAAATTAACATTAATGGTGTAATACACTTACACTTCAATTGTCTTCAAGCTTAACTGTCATTTGACTTACTTTCACTTGTTGAATAGTCTTGTGGGTCAAGTATTCCTGATTCCTGCAGGGATCTAATACAGGAGTCCACCAGTTCAAGACCTGTTGTGAGCTCATCTTCGATATCTTTTTGACCATCTGAAATATAGTATTTTAAAGTGATGAGCAAACACCTGGTAATGTCAATATTAAAGCTCAAGACTATCATTTAATAATCAAGAGTAACCTAACCAAAGACAGTACTTTTATGAAGTTCTCATTAGATATCACATTGTAGTCCTTGGTCAACCACTATTAAACACCAAGGCCAGCCAATTCTATGTATCCATAAAGAACAAAAAATTACTAGGGAATTGGAAGAACTTAACTGCCATGAACTCTTGAGCTATTACAACAACTTCACTTAATTGTCATGTCATGATGTTGTCATATTCACTTTCACAAGTGTCTTTTTAAAATTCACATGAAAGTGAATCAATGAAATATATGTAGAAGCAAGTATAAATGTTCATCAAGAAGCTACACTTTACCTTGTGATTGCCAGTGAAACTGCTCTTCTGTTGAACTGTAAAAAAGAGAATACAAAGGTATAACACACTGGTTAGACACAGAAGAACCTAGACTATGAGACACAAAGGCACATTCGGGCAGTGGTGATGGCTCCATGGCACTCCTTTTAATTTTCTACTGAGAAAAGGGATCCCATTTTGATGCAATCTCAACTTTAATCCCATTTGATATACACCTCTTTTGATTCACAGATATTAGCATGTTATCAATGGACATCGTTTAGTAATTTTCATTTTTTACAAATCCCAACCTATTATACTCAGTCCTTAACCATTGTTTCTACATCCATGCAGTTCTATCCAATTTTAGTTATTTTAAAATACAAGTCTGAATAGATTCACGTAGATTTTGTAAGATACTCCAATAAAGAAATAACTTTCTCCATCTTCATTATAAAGAGATAAAATAAATCTATACCTTATTCAAGACATATAAGCACTTCCTTTCATTCATTATGCTTTAAATTAAGGAATTTTAAAATTGTAACACTTTATCACCAACTGAATATACAGTTCCCAAATTCTCACTTTACAGATACATCTCATAAAACGACCCAAGCAGAGAGGGTTACTCATGTAAATGTTATGCCAAAGATACTGCGCAGATTTTATCTTTGCAGGCACAAAAATTTATTTTGAATAAGTTATTAAAATACATAAATAAATTTAAATTTTCTAAATATAAACAACTCTTTCATTATATATGCAAATACTTCCAACATACTCTTTTTTACACGCCAATAATTGGTGAGAAATCTAGATGCCAATTATTGACATGTATCATTTTGAGAATGATTTTCTATACTGATTTCACTAAATCTTTTACTCTGATCAAGCAGCTCCTATGAATAGCTCATCAGTCTCACAAGAGCAAGTAGGTTTTAGAACTTTAATCTGCACTGTAGAGATGGCTTCTGAATACATTTGTGGGGGTAGGAGGAGGGAATTCTGGTAGAAATCAGTGTTCAGAATAGCCATGATTGATATATAGGAAGATAAGAGTAGTCCCTTAAGAGCCATATGACTTTTTTTAGGGTATCTTGCTCCTCAGCTAATCCATTTTAGCCAAGTGGAAATGGTTTTACAATGATGAGAGCTACAGACAGTTGATGATACATGAAATGGTAACATTACAAATTCAGTCCAATGCAACTTTTCCTAGCACCAATTAGGTGTAGCATTATATAGTAGTAACATCTAACAGTAAAATTTAACACTTAAAACAGAAATTTAACCCTGTAATTAATATTTTAGAAAGTACAAAGCATGTTCACTTAGTAAGTGGCATTTAACATAAGGAGAAAATGCTTTCATATTTGTGGTGGGTTGAATGGTGCCCTTTTCCCCCGAGAAATATATCCACACCAAATCCCTAGAAATTGTGAATGCTTATTTATTGGAAAAGAGTTAAAGATCTTCAGATGAGATCATTCTAAATGCAGTGACAAATGTCCTTATAAAAGACAGTAGAGGAGAAGGACTGCCATTGAAGATGAAGGCAGAGATTGGAGTTATGCATCTGTAAACCAAGGAATGCCTGAGGCCATCAGAACCTGGAGTCAAGAAAAGATCCTCCCTTTTAGCCTTCCTAGGGAACAGCCCTGTCGACCAACCTTGATTTTGAACTTTTGGCCTCCCAAACTGTGAGGTAATAGTTTTTTTAAGCCACTCAGTTGTGGTAATCTGTAATTGCAGCCACAGGAAACCAATACAGTATTTTTCAGATTCAATGAAAATGCTCTCAATGTTCTATCCTTCAGGATTGACTACTGTCTCTGCTTTACACTCCTTTTACCAGTTCAGCCCTTTGCAAAGTACTTATGGTACATCAGTAATTCACAACAGTCACAAATCTCTTTGGTAGATGGGAAATAGCTGGCTTATTAATGTTAAATAACTTGACCACATGCATCATAAGGAACACCGCAGAGATTTAAACTAGTCTGTCCAACTCCAAAACTCATGGAACAGAGCTGGAGGAGTCATGCTCCCTGACTTCAGACTATACTAAAGGCTACAGAAATCAAAACAGTATGTATGGTACTGGTACAAAAAACAGACACACAGATCAATGGAAGAGAACAGAGAGCCCAGAAATAAACCCACACACTGTGGTCAATTAACCTATGACAAAAGAGGCAGGAATACACAGTGAGGAAAAGACAATCTCTTCGATAAATGAATCCCATGGGAAAACAGGACAGCTCCGTGTAGAAGGATGAAATTAGAACCCTCTCCAACACCATATACATAAGTAGACTCAAAATAGATAAAAGACCTTAATGTAAGACACTGTAAAGCTCCTAGTGGAAAACTCCTACTCCTTCTGTAGGCGGAACACTCTGTGACATAAATTGCAGTAGTATTTTTTTTTTTGGATCTGTCTCCCAAACCAAAGGAAACAACAGCAAAAATAAACAAATAGGAATTAATTAAACTTAAAAGCTTTTGCACAACAGAGGAAACAGTCAAAAAAATGAAAAGACAATCTACTGAATGGGAAAAGATATGACTGATAAGGGGTTAGTACCCAACATATACAATCAGCTCATACAACTCAATAATAATAAATTTTAAAAATCTGATTAAAGAATGTGCAGAAGAGCTAAATAGAGATTTTTCCAAAGAGAAAATGCAGATGGCCACTGGGCACAAGACAAGATGCTGAACATCACTAATCATCAGGGAAATGCAAATCAAAACCACAAGGAGATACCACCTTACACCTATCAGAATGGCTGTCATCAAAAAGAACACAAATGTTGGCAAGGATGTGGAGAAAAGGAAACCCTTGTAGGCTGCTGGTGAGAATGTAAATTGGTGCAGTCACTGTGGACAGCAGGATGGGGGTTTCCCAAAAAAGTAAAAATAGAACTACCATATGACCCAGCAATTCCACTCCTGGGTATATATATGAAAAAAAAAACCAAAAACACTACCTCAAAAAGATACATGCAGCTTGATGTTCATAGAAGCATCATTTACAATTGCCTAGGTGTGGAAGCAACGTAAATGAAATGGACAGATGACTGGACAGAGAAGTTGTAGCATATGTACACAACAGAACATTACTCAGCTTAAAAAAAGAATAAAATTTTGCCATTTGCAGCAACATGGATGAACTTGGAGAACGTTATGCTAAGTGAAATAGGTCAGACAGACAAAGACAAATACTGTACAATACCACCTGTATGTGGAATCTAAACAAATACAACAAACTAGTGAATAAAACAAAAAAGAAGCAGACTCACAGACATAGATAGAGAACAAACTATTGTTACCAGTAGGGAGTGGGGAGGAGTGAGGGGAAAGATAGGAGTAGGGAGGAAAAAAAGGGTTATTATGGGGTTATACGAAGCCACGTGTGTGAAACTTTTGAAAATTGTAAAGCACTACAGAATTTAAAGGGTGGGAAGGGATAAATTCAGGACTTCAAGATTTGCAAATATTAACCACTATGTATAAAAATAGATAAAAAACCAAATTTCTTCTGTATAGAACAGGAAACTATATTCAATATCTTGTAATAACCTCCTATTAAAAAGAATATGAAAATGAATATATGTATGCATGTGTATGGACTGGGTCATTATGCTGTAGACCAGAGACTGACACATTGTAACTGAATACACTTCAATAAAAAAATTAAAAATTTAAAAAATAAATAATCTTTCATTCAATAAAAAAAAAGTCACGGAGGGAGACACACTTGTTGCTTCCCACCTGAAGCAGGAAGAGTGAGCAGGTCACTGGGAGCTTCTCCACTGCTCACCAGAGTCCCGCTCTCCTCTCCTTGCAGGCACACTGAGGACCACACGTTCCTGCCCCCTTCCATGTAGATAGGTTACGTGGAAGTCCCTGAGAGGAAGGGACAGATGCCACCACCTGCCCCGAGCACAGAAGGGCAGGCACAAGATTTCATCCACTCTCCTTGCGAAGCCCTGTGTTGAGGTGGGTCTCCAAGTAGCCATGCGAAGGGGGAGGTTTCTGCCAACCCAGAGAAGGCACAGCCCTAGTGAGAAATAAACCACTGTTTTGTTAAAACTCTGAAGTTGGAGAGTTGTTTGTTTCGGTAGAATGAATGTTACACTGAATAATCGAGAAACATGCCAATATTTGAGTTCATAAGGCATTTCTTGCTTCTCCATCTGTCATTTCCATAGTATGGAGCTGGAAGAAAGTATCTCGGGTCACCCCAGCACAAATAAGATGGTGCCTCGCTCTTACTCATCCTTTGAGATTTATCCGCTTATCTACAATAATGGGTGATGTTATGTGTAGGACTACACATCACACTATTACACAATATTTACTTTCTGTTTATCTCCTTCAAAAGTGTCTCAATTTTATGGTGCAACAGAAACGAGAAGAAACATTTTTTATTACAATTGGGAAAAATACCATTGGCAGTGAATATAAAACTATCTTCTCAAAGCAGACACCCTCCTTCGGGCAGACAAAGAGCATTAATCACTAAAATGGTTCCCTGATTTCTTTAGCACAGTTAAAATGCATTGAAAGTATGACTGATCACGGAAAATAGAAGTCCCAAGAGAAACTGGCTTTGGATTTTATTTCCTTTAAGTGCACACGTCACTCTGTTAGGGGATCCTATGCAATGGCGTTTTTTATGTACTTGATTCTTTCTCTTAAAAATTGCTCTAAGGTGGATGCTTTTTAAGAAAGCAAACTATTTATTCATTCAATAAACACAAATTATGCTCATGTCTCAGACACTCTTATTTCAGGTTTTTAGGAATTACTCATGGTGCACCTTCTCCCAATTAGATCATTAAATTTAGTATAATAAACAAGCAATTTTTGAAGCTGTTATAACTTCCCATGCATGTTCAGTTTCAGAATATAAAGTTTGCTTTCATCATCGAAATGTTATTTCTTAAAATAGAAATAATTTCTAAATAATTAAATGTAATAAAAATGTAGATGTAATTTAATCAGTCTATATATTTAAATGTAACTTTGTATAAGCTCCAGA